TAGAATAGTTATTATCAAGTATATCCATATACGTGTTTACATGTGATGTGTGTGTATATATATATATATACAATAATATATATATATATATACAGGATGTATTAAAAACTATCAGACGACATTTTGAGGATGGACAGTTTCCTCAATTTGAAGTAGATTATTGCCGCAATAAAAATGTCGAAGTATTAATAAATCAAACTTCGAACCAAGTCGTTAAAAATACAAAATTTCGCGAAAATAATGTTCCAGACGAATTATAAAATGACTTCATTTTAAGACTTTGTTATTACAATATCGAAATACAAAAAAAAACTTCAATATACAAACGACGACCTCTGGTATTTTTTCCCCCAGAGAGAAAGAATAAATTTCAATCTTAACCGGGGAATCCATCCTAAAAATATCCACTGATAATTTTTGGATATATCCCGGATAATTTATTTATATGTATAATCTATTATTCACATTCCTCCAACAATTGAAATGAGCTGTCTCGAAGAAAATAGACAAGGCACTTGAACTGAATATTTTTTTCTTAGCTAGTTGGCCTCATAAATAGTAGAATGTAAGGATTTGCACATCAAAACTGTATACGAAATTGTAAAACAGGACAAATAAATTAAAGCCGGCTATCGAAAGGAATTCGTGTATCGTTCACTACTCGTGTAACATCGAGATAATTTGACGATTCTCTGCAACAGTGCCGATCTTACGTATTATTATGCTTGGTGGTGAGTCTTATAAGCGGCGCGGGGAGCATCAAGGCCTTCTAAATATTGCGTTCCTCCTGAATTGATTGCAGGCAAGGATTAAAAATAGTATAATTTCGGTCAGCCCAAATTACGCGATGCTAAAAAATGCGCGCGAGATAATGATCTGTGGCGTTTGTTCGCAAAAGTTACGGCTAGCAACACAAGATACATTTTCTCCACGAAGTGTGGACATTTCGCTCACGGAAATTATATAGGTTTCAATCCCCGATTGCAAAATCTGTCGCTCGCGCTGATGAATATGCGTCTGATGATGATGCATCGACAGATTTCTTCACTTACGTCATACTTGAAACTTCAGAGACGCGTGAACCGAGTCTGCGGAGTAACCAGTTAACGTAGTTTTAAAAAGTTACGTTAAACCCTAGGAACAAACGTTTTTTTTCCCCCCTTAGAAAGCCTCCACACGTTGTTTTTTCCCTCGTTTCATTTTTCATTCATTATTCTTTTTGATATTCGCGAAGATTTTACAGTACAAATGTCAACAATCGTGATGCAGTTTTAGAAACCACCTCACTAGTGGCACAACGCAACGAGAAAATGCGATATATGTACAAAAAGATATAAATAAATTAACAAATTATTATGCTAAGTCCAACGAAAAACGTATGACCGTTTGCAGTCTATACGCGGGACAGAGATTATATCTGTGAAAATATATATAATACACGAATAAATTGGTTGGATTCTGCAGGAAAGAAACCAACACGTACGAATCCATTGTAGAAGACAAATTGAGAATACAGGGAATACAGTCAATTTGTATTTTACGACAAACATGCGGTTGACTTTATTTGACTTTTCTCTCTCATTTTTGCGAGTTTGGTCCTTTCTCTGCAGAAGCGTCCCGATTATTTCCCACGAAGCCACAGTCTTAAGTACAACATATCTGTACCTGGAAGGCATATCAACAGAGACAAAAGCCACGAGATTGAGCCGAGAGAGTGCACGAAATGACACGCGCGACCGATTGGACTCAGAGACATGGCGATGAACTTAGAGAACATGCGTTGCAGTTACAGATACATAGGACATCAGTATTATGAATTGTAAATATAAACATCATCGTCAAACGTTGTGTAGTAAACCAGTGTCAGAGTCCAATAGAGTGGCCAGGTCGTATGCAGCAACGTCAGTAATGGAACAGGGAACCACCCAACACAAGTGCGTATGCGTGTATGAGTTATGTGTATGGGTTTGTTTAATGTGTTTTATACGCGCGTGTGTGTGTATGTATGTGTGTGTGTGTGTGTGCATCGAGTGTGTACATGCGTATACGACGTATGTGTGGTGTTTTTTTATATATCGTTTTTTGTCAGAGGAAAGTTATCTTATAATCGTTAGTTTAACCATCGATTCGTTCCATCGACTTTTTCTAACGGATTTAGATCTACATTTTAACGCTTAACTCCCCACGGACCGTCCGGAGTGGCAACAGGTACGTGAGAATAGCCGGCAAACTGAGGGAACTCCTCCACGCTGGCTGTGTTCGGTGCGCTTTGAGGCTGCTGTTGCTGCTCCCACGGTCCTCCCTTGACGATGAAGCCGGCGTCGTTCTCATTGCCGCCGACTATCCCGTCATCGCGCTGAGGCGAGCGCAGACTTTCGCGGTACTCGTTCTCTACCACGTCTTGCATCTGGGGCACGCAAATCAATTTTTCTTAATTTGCAATCGTCTATGGTGACTCGCTAATAATGACGTTTTCAGCGAATGACACTTACATACTCCTCCTCCAGATTCAGCAGACGATCCTTGGCGTCGGCCACGTTCTCCTCCGCTCCCACGATCGTCACGACATTAGGATCGGCGTCGGTTTTCCTTGGGAACTTTATGTCGACTTTAAATTCGTCCATTATCTTGCGGATGTTCCTGCCTTTCGCGCCGATCAATCGCGAGTGCACGGCAGCGTTTATCTGCACTTCTTCCTTCGTCAAACCATTCTGAAAGGAACGAGAGAGATCGAATAACGAGTTGCGATACGTGAATTGGACGTTGTTAAACATTTCCAGCAGAGAGGTCGGACCAACTCACCAATTCGTTAACAATTTTCATGATATCGTCCCGCGCGCTGTACGCATTCTTCTCGTATCCTGTGATCGTGATAATATGTTCCTCAGGGTCACCCTTGCGCGGGAAATTAATTTGGACGTCGTGATCGCTTCGTATCTTGCTGATTACGGCTCCCTTCCGGCCGATTATTTTCGGGTGATACTCTGGATCAACTTCGAGCTATTTCGCGAATAACACAATTAATTCAGTTTAACGCGCGTATATTTAGTACCTATCTTCTCGATAAAAAAGAAAGTTTAGATATATTTTACCAATAATACGATACGTCTCCACCGACTGATATCTTCCTTAAAACACCTACCTTTAGTTCAAACGACTTTAACGCTCGGTCTTGACGTTCGGCCTTCAAAGCCTCGCATTTCTCAAGAATGGCTTCCTTCGCACTTTGGACACACGACGGTGTTCCAGAGATCTGGGAAAAAAAGATATCAAATGAAATACGTATATTTCAAGTTTAATAGTTAATGCAATAGAAATTACTTTGATGTAATCCAGTTTTTCTTCCGCCGGAGAGAGCATAATGTGTACGTCGTACGTGTTCATCAGCTCTCGCACATCTTTACCTTTCTGGCCGATAATCGAGCGGTGGAAATCAAACGGCACGTCTACCTAGAAGCGGGAGAGAAGAAGACGTGATTTTGCTTGAGATCAGTTTTGTAATTGCGAGATTCGTCCGACGCGAGAAAAAACATCGTCAATTGTACGAACTTGAATCGTAACAGGCACGAGGTCAAGTAAAGCTTGCTTGGCAGCAGCAACGTTCTCTGGTTGTCCAGTGATGCGAATAATATCGCAAGCTGGGACGGTATCTCCAGCTTCTCCTCTGTTCTCGCCGTTAATCTGTTCCGGTGCTTTTTGCTCGTCTGGAACGTACGTGAACGGTCGGTGCTTTCGTATACTTAATGAAAATAGAAAGCACAAGGCAACTCGAGGTTATCACAGAAAATGAAATGCCCTGGTGCTTTCCATTTTAAATTTCCACGACTTTTCCCAGTCTGGGTTACATCCTTCAACCAACTAACGCGTTAATCGAATAGCGAAACTCGACACTAACCGTAAACTTCGCGATCGGGGAATTTGACTTGCACGTCATATTCGGATGTGATGCTTTGCACCTTACGGCCCTTAGCACCCATCACTGTGCGATGGTGTTTCTGAGGTATGATGCACTCCACAGTCACCATTGATTCCTTCATTATTAGAAATGCAACGGTGAACATATAACAACAATAATGCGTCGAAATGCTCCAGTAAAAATGCTCCAAGTAACATCAATATTTCCCCACTCGGCGATATAAATGCATATTATGTTGCATTTATATCGCCGAGTGGGCAATTGATGTTACTTAGTGTTTACTGGTACTCAACGTGTGCTCGTTCCATTACCAATTCCTGGACAATTTCTCGCATTCGTTGTTTCGCAGCTTCGATGCACTCGTGCGAGCCTTTAAGAATAACACGATCGCTATCGACGCCAGCCCGCGGGAATGAAATCTGCACGCCACCACACTCATCGGCGATTCGATGCAGTACGCCACCTCTTCGCGCTACGAAATGTCTATGATGCTTGGGATCGATGCGGATTTCACCCTCGGTAATGTTGTCCTAGAAATCCATCAAAAGAGATTTCATTATTTTATGCTTATGTTACGCAGACAGAAAAATAACAATTCTCGTACAATCTCCTTGATCGTAGCTTCTAACTCGGCTTTAGCTTTCTCCACAGCCTCCTTCTTGCCCATGATTGTAATGACTTCCTTGTCCTGATCTTCCTCCGTCGGGAAGATAATTCGAGCGCCCGTGGATTCCCTTATCTACAGCAGAGCAATATTAGAAATCTACTTGTCAAACAGCATCTTGTCGAGTTGTAGATATTGTTATTCGATGCATTTTACCTTCTTGATATTGGCACCATTCTTCCCAATGAGGAATTTGTGATGTTGGACTTTGGCACGGACTTCAGCTGAGAAACTGGACAGATGTTTTTCATTGGTCAGCTCCATAAGTTGCACTTTTGCCTTCTCCACGTCGTCTTTCGGGCCTCTGATGCTAACCTGTGCGCGGAAGATATATTTAATGGAGATTCGGTAGAAATTTTCATTTTGATTCACAATTGCCTTTTTCTTTCCTTTCTCTCTCTTTTACCTTGTCGCTTTTACTTTCCGCTGTAGGGAATTTGATAGTGACGCCTCCGCAATCTTCCATGATAGAATGTATTAGTTTACCTCCAGTACCGATAAGTGAATTGTAAAACTTTGGTGGAATGGTGATCTCATCGGTAATAATGTTGGCCTATAGTGATAGATAAATATTTTACGTAAATGTACTCTCATAACTTTCTCTCAAGCGTCGCAAGATCTAAAATATCTCAACAAGTGTGTGATTACCAATTCATTCTGAATCTTTTGTATCATTTCTTTAGCTTTCTCCACATTTTCCTTTTTACCAGTGATAGTTATAACATCGCTCTTCTCACCCTCAGCGGGCAAATCGATTTTTGTTTGAGTTTCTTCCCTTATCTGCACAGTATATAATTAATATATGTATCAATATGTGTAGGTATAAAAAAATGAATCGTTAAGAATGTATTTAGCACAAACCTTGCGGATGTTGACACCACCCTTTCCAATGACAAACTTGTGAAACTGTTTAAAAATAGGTACTTCCAGCACATGATTGCTTTCATTCAGCTCTTTCACCAGCTTCATCAGATGCTTATGGCACTTGTCGACGTCTTCTTTGGGTCCTCTGATTTTTACGATATCTCCTTTTTCCCCTGTACAGAAAAAGATCAGTTTGGTAGATGAAAAGAATCGTTAATAGAATGCAAATGCGATTTACCACTACTGTGACCACTAAAGTGACACACGATGAAACTCAATGTTACTTACCAGGTCCAGGTATGGTAATTTGTACTTGATTAAATTTATCTCTAATCTCTTTAATATTATCTCCTTTGTTACCAATTATATTACGGTAATATCTGTGATCTATAATCACGTCCTTTTCTTTCTCATTCTCGAGTTTCTTCACCATTTCCACGAGTTCCTAAATTATTCATAAAAATATTAATATTTGTGACTGTAATTGTCATTAGATACAAACAGTATAAATACATACTGTTTGGGCTTTTAATACACCAGCAAGATTGCCTTCAATACGGATAACATTGCTGCCATCATTTTCGGAGATATTAATCACAACGCCTGTTCCTTCCTTAACACGGTTGACTAATGGAAAAAATAATTTCATGTAAATACAAATCTCATCTCTGTTCTATATTAAAATAAAAGCAGTGGGAATAACAACAGGCCATGAACGTTAAAAATAATTCGATTATTTACCATTGCAACCATTTTTACCAATGATATGCTTGTAAAATCTCGGATCGACATTTAATTCTGTGAAAGTAAGCTTGGCTATAAGATCAGTAGCCATAAGTTGCAGTTCATTTTGTGCTTTCTCTACTTCCTCAGGTGGGCCTTCTATCTTAATCTTGTCCTCCTTGCCCGTAAACTCTACATTTACTTTTGGCATTTCCTGAGTGATTCTCTTGATGTTTACACCCTTGCGTCCAATAATGTATTTATGTATCCAAACTGGAGCTTCTACTACAGCAGTACGAACACTGTTTGCCTTCTCATATACCTTGTTGAGAGCTGTAAATATAAATCTACATTTAATCTTTAACTAAAGCGTGACATTGTTTATAAATCAAATGATAAATAAATATTTAATTCACGTAATTTTCCAAAATTGCTTACCCTGACCAAGCTTTTCTTGAGGTCCTCTAAGAGTTATAGTACCAGTTGCTGAGTCAGGTGCAGGCATTTCTACACTCACCCCAGTTGTTTGCAGTATCTCTGCTATGGTACTGCCACGAGGTCCAATTACATACTTGTGCTGAGACTTGGGAACCTCTACAGATACCGTGGTGCATCTCTTTTCCTACATAAAAAAAAAAATTATGTTATATATGTACAAGATGTTATAAAAAAATTTTTTTTCATTAACACACCATATCTTTGTAAATGGCCTCAATCTTCTGTTTTGCAGCTAAGACTCCTTCCTTCTCACCAGCTATGGTAATTTCATCTTGCTGCACCGAAGCAGGAGGGATATTGATGCGAGCGCCAGTTTCTGACATCATGGCACTGAGATTTTCATTATGCGCACCATATATAAATGGGTGATATATTTTTGGCACAGTGATTCTTTCGAAAGCTTTTCTGGACTGCAATATTTATGACAAAATGAATAAATATCTGCTGGCAGCTTCTGATCATTTTTAAAATTTACCTGCTCATCAGAGATAACTCTAATTTCATGTTCAGCTTTTTCAATGCCTTCTTTTGTTCCTGTAATCGTTATTATGTCAGATTGATCTTGCATACCAGGGACGTTGATCTTTGTAGCAGTTTTCTGCTCCAAATCTTTCAGCCTCTGTCCTTGCTTTCCAAGAATCCAACGATGATGATCCTTAGGAATACTGATCTGCTTACTTGCCTGTAAAAAAAAAAGTTATAAATACGAAATAGTAATAATTTGTGTTCCAGACTGTAAAAACGGGAGTATGATCAAATATCTCTGTAGATATTCGAGATATTTCATTTTATGAAAATAAATACAAATGATGCCCCTCTTTGCACATATTCAGCAAGTATCTATACCATATTGATAGTAGCTCAATACCTGGGTTTGAAATGTTGTTAGAATACGTCGTTTAGCTTCCAGAACTTGATTTTGCTTTCCAGTTATAAGAAATGTCAGCGACTGATCCTTGGAAGATGCAATCTCAATGATGGTATTTGTCTCCTTCATAATAGTTTTACATGTTCGAATAGATTCACGTTCCCCAAACTTATCACTGTGATCAAACTTGCGCTCTTCTCCTGGCACGCGGAACATCTATATAAAAATAGAACATAAAATATATAAATTGATAAAACAATGTAGAGTTTTAAGAAGAGATATTTTGTTATATTCAAAGAAAAAAAACCCAAACTCATTTATGGCAAAAAGAAAGTGAAGTTTCCTGACAATACTGACAAAAGATGATAAAGTACAAAAATAAACCACTATATAGTTGTCCAAATATAAGAATTTCAGTTTAGAATATATAATTCTAATAGTAAATATCTTTTAATATTCTTCTTGTAATAAATCTACTAAAGTGGACTGTAAATATTGACAAATTTATATATATCAGGGCTGAACATACCTGGGTAACATTTATGCAACCAAGATGTAAATTGTTATTTATAGAAAATATGTTTAATTGTCCAGAGCTGGAGCTAGCTGATTCGGGGAGAACAGGGAATGTCTCATCGTAAGTAGGTGGCTCGTAGGCCGTTCCCTCTTCCATTACTGACTGCTGCTGCATTTTGGGGTTGTCCTGTTTCGTGCCAAGTCCTTACAGTAGCACTATAATACAGGTGAAAATATTCCGTTTCTAACAGAATAAATATCAAAAGTATAATATATACAACCAAGTACATATATAATAAACAATAACATTATTAATACAGCAACAACCAGATGAAACAACTCGTATACTTTTATTACACATTATACATAGATTACATATATTATAGGAGCTTTCATAAGAGACGAAAATGATAATTGTAATGTTGCAAATGAAAAATGCAGAAGGAATGCACCAGATGGGAAATAATATAAAATTAACTTATCTTAATTCACCAAAATTAATTCATTAATTTTATCTTAATTCACCACATCGTCTGAGGAACCATTTCCGTTTTAATCTCACGACATGATGAGAAAAAGATAGATAGATAATCACTTGGCAAGATGTTGATGGACGTCGCGGATAAATTTTCTCCCGAATGACCCGATAATTGCGAAAGCAGCATTTTCGAACATTTTAACGGAGACCAATTGAAGCGCATATAATTTCGCAATATGTAGTGTGTGTATATATATATTTTTTTTTTCAACGCTTTTGCAGCAAGATCCAAATGTTGGCACGAGTCTCTATTCCCACGCGAGAATTCGATCGAACGTGACGTCGCAGATTCGTCGAGGCTCGCTCGAATATAAAATATTGGGTGATCATTAATTGAGGGATCGACGAAGAAATGTGCGTTACGCGCGGACATGTCAATGACCAAAGTGGCCGAGACGATGACCACCATATGGAATGGAGTGTTAACTTGACACGTCACGAGATCGCTAACCTCTCGCGCCTCGGAGCGACACCCGTACATCGTGGTGCTGAAATCGAGCGAGTACGGCATGAAAAGCGAAACGGCGACGGCAGAAACGGAGAGAACCTGACGGATCGTACCGAGGGTCGTATGTCGCACGCGTCTCACGCCAGCAGGCAATTTTGAAATTGGTACTTACTCTACCGTAATAAAGAAATCCGGCCCAGTAATAGACGCGTATTACGTAGCCAGTTTAACAATGGTTTGCCTGAAACATTTACAACGTCGATTACGAAGGATGAACAACGCACTCCGCGACGCGAGGTCTAATTGAATTAGCGTGCAGCGAATTATCGCTCATTACTCTCGAGACTCACGACTTTCCTTACCGGTAACGCAAAGTGAAATGAGAGACCGAACGGGACGGAGTGCCCTCGGACGGCGAAAAATTACCAACGATCTAGAGAATACGGTTGCGTCATCGCGATACCAATGACGAACAATTGGGATAAATTCCCTGAGAATTTTCTGCAATTTTCATGCGCGTCAATCCGCAGGCGTGAGCAGCCATCCATGCAAGCCTGCGGAAAATTCTTACGGTGGATGCACATATTGAATACGCGACCTTTCAATATTTGCTGAGAAGAACTATTTCCTGATATCTTGTAGAGAGCAAATTTACATCGAACAGGATAGTCTATGGAGGTAGGAACTAAGGAAGTAAGGTAGTTTTTCCAATGGAATGTAACACCGAGAGTAATCATTCCCATTTTTTACTCCCTCGTTTTACCACCAACCAATATTTTACTTGTTTAATACTGCTTACTTCCAATGTAGACGCCCTCCTTATCACATTATCAATGTAAGCGGACCTTGTCACCTCAGGGGATCAAAAACTTAGCAAGAAAGTGAGCGAATTTACTAGAATAATAATATAATTTCATTGGTCAATTTGCTCACTTTTGTAATTCTCATTACGCTTTCACACAATCGACCCCCCTTCAGCCCTATCAGCTACGGATTGAATCGACCAATCAGTGCAAAGTTCACTAAATCTCACTAAATTTGAATTCAGTTAACTTTGCATTGATTGGCCAAATTCAATCCATAGTCTGATACGGGCTTAAAGGCGTCCCATCACAGCTGTTACTAGTCAGCAGCGGAATTTGACAGATTGGGTTTCACTCCAGCGGACCGTCTCTCCACGAATCCGCTGGTATAACTTGAGCGAACACATCACAGTATAGTGTCATATTTTCTGTGAGAATCGTCAGAGATAAATCTAGTCTTGCGCGGATTGTGTTAATATCAATCAACATTGACGGGCGGCGCGTGTTACCTCGCTCAGCATCGAATACGGTTAATAATGCAGCTGACTCGAAATCAGATGACATGAGACTTGTGCGTACAGTGATGAGGAAGCGCGATATTAATCGCCGCGAGGGATATTTATCGAAAACGAAAAATGTTCGTCAGAGATCCCTGTGGCATCATATGCATTATCGTGACCTACGTAGCGGTGTTTTACGCTGATTACGTTGTAGTACGATGGATCGTGTTGCACACCATGCAAGACAGGTTTGGACACGATGACAAAAAAAAAACCATGATCTGCATGTCAACAAATCTTACGTATACGAGATAGAAGATTCAAGCGGGAACACAAATTATAATTTTATTCTTTAAGTTACAAAGATATAACTTTTCAAATTTGTACACTCTTACGATCTTTTTCTATCTTCTTCTTAGTTTATAGTGTGTACAATTATGGTTTTCTGACAGATCAGCGGAAAAAACAGCTCACTAAGCGTTCTGTGATTATTATACATGATTGGATTATTCTCTTAGACCTTCCATATATCAACGAGTGTGTCAGAAGGATAATAATCACGAAACGCTTACTAAACTGTTTTTCTGCTGAATGTATTGTCACAGTGTTGTTGATTTTCAATGTTGTTTTGTTCTTAGCTTATGGGGCCCCTTCCATGTAATAGCATTCAATACTATTGTGCTTTTCCTAATGATGGCACACTTGAAAGCTGTCTGTAGCGATCCTGGTATAGTACCTTTACCGCAAAGCAGAATGGACTTTTCTGACATTCATGCTTCTGGAGGAAGTGATGACCATGATGGTGATGAGAAAGATGATTGGACAGTATGTACTAGATGCGAAACATACAGACCACCTAGAGCTCATCATTGTCGGATTTGTAAACGTTGCATCAGAAGAATGGATCATCATTGCCCATGGTAATGATATAAATTGTGATATATTTTCTTAATATAAACATGTGATGTATATTCATTTTAAATTACTCCAAATAATAATATTATAATCAGTCGGCCAATTCATTTGAGTTCACCTCTGTCTTATTGAAATGTTAACACAAATTTCTAAGGATTAATAATTGCGTCGGCGAAAGGAATCAAAAATACTTCATACAGTTTCTGGTATATGTTGGTGCATTAGCTATATACGCTATCATCTTAGTAATCTTATCTTGGATCAACGACTGCCCTCAATGCAATAACGACATTGCCATCAAGCAAAATCGCATGTACGTATTCTTACAGAGATACTTTACGAACAAGAGAGATGCTTATATTGCTATTGTGTGTCTTGCAGTTTACATTGCGTAATATTAGTCCTGGAATCGGCACTATTTGGTATGTTCGTCATAGCGATATTAGTGGATCAGTTCCAAGCGATCCTAGGTGACGAAACCGCCGTGGAGCGCGTACAAGGTACTCAGCGTTACCACAATAAAAATGCACCACGAACGTTTGCGCTCCTGTCTCAGGTGTGTGGGAAGAGCCATCCGATATTTTGGTTGTTCCCTTGCCACAATCCGCCGCGTTATTCTTTCAGGAAGGATGCGTATTTAATCGATCACGTAGTATAAAATTACACGAAATGTATATCTGCACGGTATTTTATCCCTTTGTATTATTATAATTTTTATAATGATTTATTAACGATCCATTCCTTGAATTCGCGTATGTTAACACACCGAATTATCGATACATAATATAGATTCAAAACTTGTAGCTATATAACGTTTCTACTGCGCGAAAATGAAGTATTTATAACCTGACTATATTAAGACTATTATTGCTATAAAATATACATTAATATATTAAGAAAAATATATAATTTCATTATTTATTTTATATATAATTATTTAAAATGTGAGAGAATCAATAATAATTTTAATTAACATATGTCTGCTTATTTTGAAATATGTGGCAATAATATATATATATATATATTATTATATATATATATATATATTATATATATATATACGTGATGATTGTAATTTACATTATATTAATAAATTAAAACAGTTTTTTTATTTTTTAGAATTAAGATATCCAACTGATGTTTCTGTGTAAAAATTAATTCTTTAATTTAAAACAATTATTAATTATATAGCAATCCTGTTTTTTCAAGCGATAATCATTTTATTCATATTTACAAGAATTGTGTGTATTGTACTCAAAATAAAGTATGATGATTTTACAAAGTTTGATACATGTTACTGTAAATGTATAATTATTTAATTTTGTTTCTATGTTGTTTTGAATCCTAATTTATCACATTAAAAAATCACTGCAATTTTTATTCTATGTTTTATCGACTCTTCAATATATGTAGATTGCAAAATTTATTTGAATAAAGGGACAAATTCATGATCGCGTCAAGCGTCGGAGCCAATCAGCAGACGATCCATTGTCTGTTGATTGAGTCGACGCTCGACGCTACTACTGAAATAGTTCCTTAAGCCTTTAGGTTTGTTGATTGGAGTTGCCAACCTTATTATTAAAATTCTAGTTACTACATTAGTAACGACATCTGTAATCGTATTCCATACACACAAGTTTCCTTTCTATATTTAGTGTAAACTTTCCTCCAATGAATTTCGGACACTTTTCGTGCACACGTGTGTGTGAAACGTTTGAAAAATAATCTGATATTAATATCAGTTTGTATAACGTTAATATGAAAATATTTTTTTATTATAAATTGACTGATTCGTTAAATATATAGACATAATTTTTCACATTTCTTTAAGTTATCAAGTTGCCGAGCATTATGAGTGTGAGATCCTCAATTTTGAAAAAGGTCTTTCTTTTAAAATTATAAAACATTTATTAGAGTTATCAACTAAATTTAATTATTTGTGGAATCTATGTAATCACATCCTCAAAATTTCCTTTTGCTTGTTTTATAGATAACAGAATCCTTACAAAATGTTAGCAACACAGATATATATAATATATCATCTTATTTGCGTCTAGAGGCATATAAAGGTAATGGAATGTATTCATTTCTACTTCCTCTGAGAACCAAGGATTATGATATTCAGAGTGAAGCACAGAATATCATGAATAATGATCAAGATAATATTTATGACAATATTAATATAAAAAATAATATAGTTTCTTTCGACATCAGCAGAGAAATATGTATAAAGAAGGTTTTGGAAGATAATTGTTTAACAGTATCAGCGCCAACTTTCACGAATAACAAGAGAAAAAATGTTATAGTGGAATTTAGCTCACCCAATATCGCGAAACCCTTTCATGTAGGACACTTGAGATCCACAATTATAGGAAATTATGTTGCTAACATCAGTAGTTTTGCAGACAATAATAATGTCAAGAGGATAAATTATTTGGGTGATTGGGGCACGCAATATGGTTTAGTTCAATTAGGAGTCGATTTGGCAGGAATAAATGAAGACGAAATGAAGAAAAGTCCTATAAAAGCTTTGTACACAGCATATGTCACTGCCAATAAGTTGGTCAAAACAAATCCTTCTATATTGGAACGTGCAAGGGAGATATTTAATAACTTGGAAAATGGAATTACAAGTGGAGAACAATGGGAAACATATAAACAATATACTATTGAAGAATTGAAACAAGTTTATAATAGAATCGGCATCACATTTGACGAATATCACTGGGAGTCAATGTACAATGCTAAAAATATAAAGAAGGTGATTACCTTAATGGAAGAGATGCAATTATTGACAATAGACAAACAAGGCAGGAAAATTGTGAGTCTGAACGATGGAAAGAAAAAGAAAAACCTTCCTGTCATTAAAAGTGATGGTTCTACCTTATATATAGCCAGAGATATTGCAGCAGCTATGGACAGATTTGAGAAGAATACCTTTGACTGTATGTATTACGTGGTGGATAATGCACAAATTGGTCATTTTTCAAATTTGTTGGAAATATTGAAACAAATGGAAGTACCATGGGCGGAAAGATTGAAGCACATAAGGTTTGGTCGAATAAATGGTATGAGTACGAGAAAAGGAAACATGGTATTTTTAGAGGACATCTTGGATACTGCCAGAGATATCATGAAGCAAAGACAACTAGATTCACCCAGTTAGTATTAATATTTCAATACTTATAATATGTAACATTAAAGTGTAGATATTGTTGATAAAACTTTGTTTCAGCCACTAAGGTTTCCATGGATTTGATGGATAATAGCTCGGATATATTAGGCATCTCTGCAATGATAATCAGTGATTTGAAGAGAAGTCGGCAACGAGACTATACTTTCAATTGGGATACAGCATTTAACGTAAGCTAGTCGCAGATTATCGCCATACACTTTTTTTTCACTCACGATATATTAATCAGCCTCTTAATTCTTTTATGCAAGTTGCAAGGAGAAACTGGTATAAAATTGCAATATACACACTGTCGTTTGGTCAGTTTAGAGCGCAATTGCGGCGCAATCTTAACTTCGGAGTGCGAGCCAAGCCTTTTACGAGAAGAAGTCGTCGATGATCTAGTCGTGTTAATCGCCAGTTTCGAGGAAACGGTGTTGAAATCATACGAAGAAATGGAACCATGCGTACTGACGGCGTATCTTTTCAAACTGAGGTGGGTAACAAGTTCCGTCAAATGTCTTCCATACTTATTCAACAGGACTAGAAGTTATATCCCAAGCTCTTCGAAACTCTCTTTCGGAACCTTTGACATACTCGAACAGTGAGATTTTGGAAATTCGAACATTCGAATGTTAGAATATTCGAGACTTGAAAAAAAATACATGTGTTCGTTTTATAAGCATAGTATTGACTGTCTTGAGGAATATAATTTTTTCTTGCACTGCGTTACATATCATGATTTGCACTTATTTTAAAATAAAGCTAATAGAGACTTGTTGCTTATTATTTCCTTGCTTTCTTCATTTACTTTGTTTTGTTAAACTGGACAAATATAAACCTTGGAATTGAACTAAAAATACCCAAACAACACGTATATTTAAAAGATGTCTTTACGACGTCTTAATATTATCTGATCGGTTAAACCGATACTCTCTGATTGCATAGTATTCTCCGAAATTAGTTCCATCAGCTCGAAATTAGTTCCAACAGCTTTGATATTTTCGACGAATAGAGTTTGAATAATTCGAATCTTCGAACTTCGTAGTCGAATTATACCGCAGTTTCGATTATGTCGAATACTACTCTTATTGCCAAATTCAAGTAGCTATTTTTTTTCTTTTTTATACAGTAATGCAGTTAATAGAGCTTTCATAATATTGAAAATAAAAGACGAATCGCCAGATGTTGCTAGCCAGAGACTGCTGTTGTTTCACGCTGCTAAAAACGTTCTCGCACAAGGTATGAAATTACTTGGCTTATTGCCTTTGGAGAAAATGTAACGAAGAGATTATAATTGTAACATAGTGCGTATCGTTTACGATCGTGTGTGTTTGTACAAAATATTGCAAAAAATAAAGAAAGTAGCTGCTACGTTATAAAAAGAAGGAACAATTTTTTAAATTGTACAGCGATACTTTTCTCACTAGCGTCGTTTCGTGTGAATTTATTGTTTGTAACAAATGAGAATTATATTATATAATGTATATTGGAATAAACAGATCAACGTTTGTGCCAGGTGAACTTCCTTCTAGCGCCTTCTTGACCACACTTCTTCCTCTCGCGTCTTCTCCAGTCCCTCGTTAGAAGTCCAGCTGTTTCAAGATAATAAATGATAATTCAATTTTCCATCATCCTCACTCATGTATCTCGTGTATATCTTGCACACGCAAGTCGAGATACACTTGTGAGTAAGTTTTCGAACCAAGTGTTTCTTACCAACTCGCATCTTTTCGACCATTGGTTTATCAACAAAGCTACGCAAGCCCCACGCAATACCCCAACGCATAGCACCCGATTGACCAGTAGGCCCTCCATTCGTAAGCGTAGCTTCGATATCCACTTTATCGGCCATGTCCGTGAATAACAATGGAAATATAATCTGAAACAGAGGCAACAAAAAAAAAACATTATGTGAGACAACCTTGATGTTCGAGCTAAGGTTTAAAATAAAAAAAAAAAATTAATGAGAGAAGCATAGCATTTGCAAGTCAAGTTCAGAGATTTCTCTGTGGGAGCTCGATGCTTCTCGTGAATTCATTTCAAATTAATGAATTGTAATTGAAAGTTTTTATATATTAATTTTGAATCTTGATATTAATTTTAAATTAATTTTGAATAAAAATTTATTAAACTATACAAGTATACAGTATCTGCAGACGTATAAAAATGGCCAAGAACGTGTACTATAAGGATACATCTTATAAATAATAATGAAAAGTTCGAATTACGCGATGCAAATTTTGGATTGGATCGACGAGAAATCATCCAATTCAGGTATGCCGCTCTCCTCTCGTTAATGTTGCTATAACAGTTTTCAGCATTTTGTTCATTTCCATTAATTCTACTTTTAACAATTTCACAGCTTCCTCGTTCACTTTCACCATAGTGATCAGTTTCTCGATCGCCGTGTGCACGTCGGAGGGCTCCTGCCGTTTCAGCCAAGCGGCGTGATCGCTCAAGCTGACGTCGTCGAAGGGGATGTTCTTCTGTGCTATTTCGTAAGCGGCTTTCAATATATCCTTCGGCAGCCGCTTCTCCAGAGGATTAAGCGGCTTCACTACGAGCACTCGCTTCCTATTCTCAACGTCGATCTTGTGATCCGACATCCACTTGCGGAAAGTGTACGGGATGGTCGCGTTGTGCAGTATCATTTCCGTGAATAATATCAGCTTGGTCTGCCTTACAAGTTTCGTCAGTCCCGCATGATTTCTCAAACCCTGTATATCGTGCACGGCAATACCGACCAGCAGGTTCATCAAGATTACGGTGACGAAGACTATGAAGAGCGTGAAGAGAATTTGCGAGCACACCGAGAGGGGATGATAGATGACGAAGGAGCCGGTGGTCGGCTCGTCGTCCGACTGATTAATGAGTCCCTCGAAGTCCAGCTCACCGGCCATCATCGCCAGGACCTTGATCAGACCGGTGAAGGGATTGCCGAACGCGGGCTCACCCGAGAATATGACGCAGAAGCTGACGGTGAAGCCGATCAGCAAGCCGGAATATGCCAATAAAAGCTTGGCGAATTCGAATTGGATGTGAGTGAACATGGCGACGTAGGTGCCGAAGGCGGGTAACTGGCCCACCATCAGCATCAGGTTGGTCCACGCACAGAGTATGGCGAACGCGCCCACGTAGTTTTGCCAGTCATAGGTGCGTCCGGTGTAAATGAAGGACGTGACGAATATGCTGACTATCACCACACCGTCCAACACGTTGTCGATGTTGGAGAAGTACTGGATCGCCGACTTGTGGACCGAAATGAAGCCGATTACCTTCCGCGGTATGGTGATGCACGTCAACACCAGTGCCAGGTACCACTCGATCTCGATGATCGGCCGTCTAAAGAGGAAGGAGATCCTCTTGCCGCTGCATATCTTCGAGTTGTTGCTCTCGTGATTGTAGCACTTGTAGGCGAGCGCGGTCAACACGTAGGTGGTCATGCATATCACCGTCATGGCGTAGAGGAATATCCTCAAAAGATAGAGCTTGCGGATCTTCTCCCACTTGAGATGCAAGAAAGCCATGACCAGCGGGTGCGACAGCAGATCCTTCCGGTGTTCCTGCACGAAGGTGTTTATGAAGCTGGTCTCGCACTGATTGTTACTGGGGAAGAGGATGTCGAAGTGCAGCTTCATCTCGAACTCCCGGTTGTGCGACACCGGCCGGGTCAGTCTGATGGAGGCGTCCAGTCGTTGGCGGAACACGTGCAAGGACTCCGGGATCTTCCTCAGTATGACGTTCAACGCGGACAGGCCGGCGCAGGTGGTCGCGCTGATGTCGGCGCCCGCCCAGATCAGCGCGTCGACGCAGCGCGACTGCTCGTTCAAGGCGGCGATGTGGAGCGGCGTGAAGCCGCTCTTGTCGGCGGCGTTCGCCAGAGCGCCGCGCTTCAGCAGCAGCTGCACCAGCTCGACCGACGAGTCGGTGCTCATCACGGCGAAATGCAGGGGCGTCCGGTGCTCCCGGTCCACGGCGTCGGCCGCGCCGGCCGACAGCAGCTCGACGCAGGGTATCGATTGCACGAAGCAGGCCACGTGCAGCGGCGTCTGGCCCAGGTGGTTCTTCTCGACCACGCTGGCACCGCGTTCGAGCAGCACCTTCACCGTCTCGACGGCCTTCGCCCTGACGGCGCTGTGCAGCACCGGCTCCACCATTTCCTGACCGGAGTAGTTCAGCTTGGCGCCGTGCTCGAGTAAGGTAGCCGCGGCGTGCCAGCTGTTCCCGAGGGCCGCGACGTGGAGCGCCGTGTACCGGCTGATCGGGTTCTCGTAGTTCACGTCGGCGCCCTTCCCGATGAGATACTCCACGCAAGCCACCTTGTCGCCCAACGAGGCCGCCAGGATGGCGTTCATGCCGGAACGTGGCTCGACGTAGTCGTAGCGCGCGCCAGCTCTCTCCAGCTGGGGCAGGAGGTGCGGCAGGCCGCGGTAAGACGCCCAGATGTAGGCGACGTTCCGCAGTCCCTTGCAGGCGTCCGGCAGCGCGTCGCACTTCTCCATGTACAGCAGCAGCCTTGTCTCCGCCGGGCTGACGATCGACCATATGGCCGACCTCAGCTTGGCGCCGTTCACGTAGGGCTGCTTGCAGCACTCCAGGTTGTCGAAGAAGAGAGACTCGTCCGCTGGCGGCGGTTCGCCGGCGTCGATCCGGTCAGACCCGGCTCCGTTCGCATCATCCTCCGCGTCGTGCGTGCATCTCAGCGACCTGTAGGTCGAGGCTAATCTCACGGCGAGGGGCTCGTGACGCTCGTTCAAGCTTCCGGTGGAGTACGTGTGTTGCCTGCCCTCGTTGATGATCGGTATCTCCAGCAAGTCCATCTCCGCTTTCGCGCCGCCGGCGTTCCGCAACTTTCGCTCGTCCTGCTGCATTTTTCTGGAGGTCCTTCGGCTCTTGTCTCGGTAATTCCTCTCGGATCATCCGTGGTGATCGATTTTTCCCTTTCTCTCTCTCTCTCTTCGCAGATGTACTCGCGCGAACTCCAGAGATCCGTCGCGTTCGATCCGCTCCTCTATTGCCGCGCGTTGTTGTCCGATGTCGATAATTGAACACGCAAAGTATTATCGCACCGCTATGTGCGATCACTCGCGCCGAGGAGCATCTCAATCGACGGAGCGAGCGTCTCTTCTCTCTCTCTCTTCTCGTCGTTCTTTCCCGTCACGTCCCCGAGCGGTTTAGGTCATTTTAAGAGAGGGCTCTTATCACCTCGACCGAGTGACTTATATCCGAGCACCTTGTTGCACTGGTTCGATCATGACTTTATCATCCGGACTGCTTAATGATTCCCGCGCTAACGGGATATACGTGCTCGGCGGTATATTGGTAATAAGACTGGTAAGGAGAGCCGCTTTCTCGCCGGCAATAACGGCATCAGGTACATGTGTTTACAAATGTTCCTGTCGCGTATCCATTCTCCGATGATCAAACGGACGCGCGCCCAATGAGAAAGAATGTCTCTCACCGAAGGTTCGCGAATACCGTGATTATTTCATATAGTCGATGCGAAAAACTTGCAGTCGGACGAATATAGGATGCATGCAGGTAGTGATAAGCTGGAGAGCTCGGTTGGATCACTTTGCGTATGTTGAAGCAATCGAAGAACGATGCGATGTAATCTTCAACACCACACTGGCTTCTTTCGTCTTCATCGTTGATTTTGTACGCTCGTTCCCGTCGTTTATGTTTTCTTATTTAGCACCGCTTTTCGAGATAATGATTAATATTTAATATTTAAGCTTGCTCGGAACTTTATTTGAAAACAATCGATTTTTCGGCTTGAAAATTTGGAAAGGAAAAGGAAACTGGCTCTTATTTTTTGTTAAACGTAAAATATGGACCAAATCATTTGTTATTGAGTAGCTGGTCGCTCGATGGTTCTACGTGAATATTACTCGCGGACTTATCCGTATGATCGCGCTCCAGGTACTACATGACACGTCTCTGTCGATCGTGCGGGAAGCGGATTTCGCGAGTACAAAGTTTGGGGGGAGGGGGGAGGGGAAGAGCGCAATGAACAATAAACGTAAAAAGATATATAAGTTGACACCGAGGTCTGTTTCTCGCATACTAAAATGTGCGCGAACCGCCCTTCTGTTAAATTCCAGACCAAGCTGGACGACGATGCTGAAAAGTACCACCAGTCGACTTTTATCATAGAGATTGTTAGCGTTGTTATTTATATCCGTTATTGATGAAAATACATCGCAGTTATATTCACGTTATCAATCAAGTACATCGACAGTCATACTTTTCTCGTCGAAAATTACTATAGAGGTTTAATGAGCACAGGAGGAAAATAGACTTAAAAAATTGGTTTTGTTTAAAGTAATAGGGTTTTGTTGTAAAATTATTCATGTAATCAAAATAAACTTTTAGAAGAAACAACAATAAATATAATCGTGCATTTTTAATGTAGATACTGACTTATTTATCAGAAGATACAATCTGTCGAAATGACGGCAAGCAAAAATGTAACAGAAATGTAAACTATAAATTAGAATCGAATAATTACTTCGATATGAAAACCTTGAAAAAGAGGTCGTATTATCAGCGTTTTTAGAGGGCTACGATAGCAAAATGTTTAAAAGAAAATATGTGTAATAATAAATACTAAGGTGTACCTGTTTCGAAAATGTTTCGAAATGCTCAAAAGTACATTATAAGAGATATTGGCATATTATGTGTGTATTAGCGCCAGTATGTAACGACGGGCTACTAAATAAATGATTCCATAAGTAATCACTCGAACTTTCTACCCAATAACGGAGATATTTATGTTAATGTTCAAAAAATATTCCAAGAATATCCCAGAAATACTCGAATGGGACGTTCTTACAATGTTTATTGGTACTATATGGGAAGAATTATCATAATATCATCTTCTCTTCTAGAGATCAGGCAAGATTTTGAACAATCGAACGATCATCGAGACTTTATAGTCGTTTAGCTTTTAATATTTGACTTCTCTTTCCTCATCCAGAATTTGTTTCTCGTAGAGGGGTTTTTCTATTTTTACCCTATAGCTGAATTTCTTATAGATTTCCCGAATTGCGTACATTGAAATACAGTGAGATACAGTGAAACGTCTTTCAGACCGCGTGATCGCGAACATGATACCGCATGTTTTATCTGTATAATTTGTGATTTCGTATTCATTATAGATACATATTATGTCATGCAAGTAATTTGTGCGTGGCATATGTAAATAAATTGTCGTGCATGAAATATAGATTATTCTGACTAAAGCAGCCGTGGCAGTTTGTGAAGTCCGAGACACAAAACAATTTTTTCCGCGATTAATTTATTTAACGCTGCGAGAATATTTCTCGATTCCCCACGATATATATGACAGATATCTTCTTATGCAATTTTTTTAAATTTGAAGGATTGGGGAAACACGCGTGAAAAATAGCGTTTGTCCGGCGCGTTAATAATTTAAAAGATGCATGCAGCCCAAAGAGTGTAGCCAATTATATTCTTCTTAGAGAAGTGGATCCGTGATTCAACGTCCTCGTTTCATGTCGGGTTTAACAACAGGTCCTATCTTGAAACTTTTTGCGAAGAAGAATTTATGCAGATCGAAACCGGTTTTCGACGTCGGTCTACGTGTACCGTTAATGTTATTTGTATTCTTTGAAATCCTCAAAGAGAAACTCAACTGAGTAACCCTAAAAAGCGTTTCTACCAAATTTAGTTGTGTTTTACTCATATGTTTGGCAATACGCCTCGATAGAAAATTTACAACGATTCACTTTTCGTAAGTGCAATTTGTAATTCCTAACTGTGAAATTCCAATATTTAATGTTTAAAACAACCGGAGAGGGGAATATTCACCGATCGCAGCAGTTTGATGACACGTTAAAAATGATTATATTGTCAAATAATTATAAGTAATACGAAATAATGGATTGACACGTATAAATTATGGACATAAACCCAAGTAGAACAAAAAGTCATATAAGATGACGTTGAAAAGTAATCATTTATAGAAAATCAAAGTGATGTCGTGCACTGCATTATGACTTGTTAACGATTTCCTTACTTACGAGGTACTGTAGAAAGCCTGCATCCAACTGTTAATATTTTTTCTAAAGCTGTGTCCCGATATTCACTGCTAGTACTGAAAATCTATAGTTCATTTACGTGAATTTTTAGTACTGACAGTGAATATCGGAACGTAGTAATATGCAACTATACCTTACAAATAAATTATTACTGCAAAAAAGTTATATTTAAGGTTATAGTAATTCTAATTTCAATTAGTCGTAAAAATGGTTTGCAATTATAATAAATCGAATATTGTTTGCGTGAACAATTTTCTCTATAGTTACTAACATATGCAACTTAAATATATTGAGCAAAGAGTTGATTTCGAAAGGATTAAATTCCAAAGTCATTATTTCACCAATTCTCTGTTATGATGAAAAAATGACCTTTGGAAGTCATTCCATCATCATTTTGACGTTATTGTGACTCCTTGGGATATACACCATTACGTTTGACGTAGCATCATATTTCGGCTGTCTATGTTACCAAATTTATATCTCTCTAGTTATTTTGAAATGTTCATTTCTCATTTATACTTTTTATTCTCAGGCGTAAATAATATAATTTACATAGAAAGAAAACAAATCCTATTCGCCACAACTTCCTATTATACAATAAAAAGGATAAAAGTTAAGAGAAATATACGATCGATTAATCGACCGCACATCCCGGCAAAGTTCCTGAACGTCGCTGGGCATACGAATGACTCGGAACTGCTGCTGATTCACCTCGGTGAATGCTATCGTGGAACTGTATTATTTATTTGCATCTTTGCGAGCTCTCGAAGTAGAGCCTGATTTTTCTCGCAAATCCTCCTGAGCTCGGCAATGTCGTCCTCGAGTCTATTGCAATCCTGTACCGATGTGTCACGTCGACGGCACGAGACCGGATCACCTTTCAGACTCGCTTTCGCGAAGCCCGGACGGTGGGTTTTCTTGCGCAATACGGCGAAATGATTAGGCCCGTCTTCTTCCTTGGCTATTTTGTAGACGGCAGAGAGAATGTCACGCGGTAATCTCGTCTCTCGGGGATTCAACGGACGGACAGTTAGGAAGGCGCATAACGGCGAGGGCAGCACCAACGCGGACCATCGCAGGCACTTTATCAGGCGTTTCGGCAGAAGCGCGAAAATCAGCGCAACTTCCACGTCGCAGATCAGTTTGGTTTGACGAACCAGCTTCGCAAGTCCCGCTGTCTTCTGCAGACCTTTGATGTCGTGCACAGCTATGCCGATCAGCAAGTTCATCAGTACGATCGTCACGAATAATAGGAATAGCACGAAAGAGAGCTGGGCCGAGAATTGCAAGAGCCAAGGGGGAGTCCCTTCCGTAAGGACGGTCGTTTGGGCGGTCTTGTTGGAAGACGAGAAGAAGAGATCCTCGAAGCCCAGCTCGCCGGTCATCATCACGAGGACTTTGATGAAAGCCATGTGCGGGCTGCTGCCGAACGCCTTGGAATGCGGGAAGATAACGCAGAAGCTGGCTGTGAAGCCCACCAGCAGGCAAGCGTACGCCATAAGCAGCTTGATGACCTGAGCCTGCACGCTGGTGAACATCGCGACGTATGCGCCGAACATCGGCAATTGGCCGATCATGAGCATCAGGTTGCTCCAGCCGCAAAGGACAGCGAAGGCGCCGATGTAGTTCTGCCAAACGTGCGTTTTGCCGGCGTACGCGAAAATCGCGAACACGCTCGATATCAGGCACCAGTCCAGCAGGTTGTCCGCCTGCGTGAAGAACTGCCGGACGGACCGGTAACTGGGTAACACGGTGAACTTGCGAAAGAGCTCCAACAGGGTGAGCACGACTAGCGTGCACCACTGAATCTCGAGCACCGCGGGATGGAAAAAGTCGCAGGGCGGCCGAGTCGGACGCTCGTGCAATTCGTTGTAACAGTTGTAGGCGAGGCCGGTCATCACCCAGAACGTGAGGATCAGTATGTACACCAGGAAGAAGAGCAGCCTGACAGCGTAATACTTCCTGATCTTTTGCCACTTGAGGTGGAGGAAGGACTGGCACAGAGGATGCTCCAGGATCTCCTTGTAGCCCTCTTTGACGAAGGTGTGCAGGTAACCGATCTCGCTGTGCCGGCGATGCTGCAGCAACGGACGGAAGTCCAGTCGCAGCTGCAGCTCGCCCGCCATGAATCCCTGCCGGTGCAGACTCACGGACGCGTCCAGTCTTCGCTCGAACGCGTCCATACAGGTGGGAATCTTGCGCAGGACGATGGATAAGGCGCTGGTGCCCCCGTTGGTCCTGGCGGTGAGGTCGGCCTCGTGCCTGATCAGCAGGTCGACGCATCGCGACAGTTCGTTCGAGGCGGCGATATGAAGAGGCGTGTAGCCGTACTTGTCGGCTTTGTTCACGTTCGCCTTCCAAAACAGCAGAAGCTCGACGATGTCGTCGGTCATCAGGGACCGGCTCAAGGCCAGATGCAGGGGCGACCGACCCTCGTCGTCCTCCACGTTCGGGTCGGCGCCACCCCTCAGTAAGACCTCCACGCACTCCAAGCTGTGAGAGCGAGCGGCCAGGTGCATGGCCGTGTACCCTCGGTGATTCTTCAGCTTAAGGCTCGCCTTCGCCTCCACCAGACGCACGACGCTGTTCACGCAACCGGCTCCCGCAGACAGATGCAAGGCGGTGTCGTTCTTCCCGGTGGGCAGATCCACCGGACAGCCCGCCTTCAGAAGCACGCACAAGCAATCTGAGTTGCCGGCGTCGGCGGCGTAATGAATAGCGGCGAATCCGTCCGAGTCCAATCGTTCCAAGTCTTCGTTGTTCGGCGCTAACAGAGAGAGCACGCGCAGAGCGTTCGTACGCGCCGCCACGTGCAACACCGTCTCCTCGTCTTCCGAGGACTTTTGGCTGAGACCTCGCTGCACGAAGTACTGAGCGACCTCGTAGGAGTCGCCGAAGGCGGCGTAATGAAACGGCGTGTGCTTCTGACTGATATCGTAGATGTTGGCGCCGTGTGCTATCAGACACTGGACTCCGTCCAGGCAGTTTCGAAACGCGCACAAGTGCAACGCGGTGAGACCCTGCTCGGGCTCCGCGTAGTCGACGTTGCCCTCGACGCACAAACGGCGAATGAGGTCGACACGCCCGATGAAACTCGCGTACAGCAGCAGAACGTTGATCTCGTTGGGCTTGCAGGCTGCGAAAAACGCCTCGTTCCCAGTTGTACCCAACTTCTCAAGATCCTCGCAGAGTTGGCCTCTGCAGCCTATTTGCCGCGCGTGCTCCGCGAGGACGTTCCTGATGAAATCCTCGTTGATGCGCAAGGACGAGCGATCGATCTCCGTGCAATAGCCGAGCTCGCTGATGTTTATGGAGTAATCCTCCATGGCGGGTATGCTGCTGGGAGGCGTGTATCGAGCGTTGTCCTCGTCCTGACTCTCATTTTGCCTGGAGCGCTTAGCAGACATCCATCGAGCTAGGAGCAAGGAGGTCGTCGTCTGCCGCAGCGACGCCATCTTCGGCGCTTCACCGGTCTCTTCCATTTATTTCGGGGAGCACGAAACGACGACCACCTCCGCCTGTTGCCGCGTATTAGAAACTATAAATACGATATATCAATTTCACGCCGTGATACGAAGCCATTCGATGGACGAATATCGATGAATAAAGTTCTTATAGCCTGGATGAAGTCTGGAGCACGGTAATATCGAGGATGATTTCTTTTTCTTTCGAATTACATATGTGCAATAACAGAAAGTGTATGATTCTGAATTATGATGCCAAAATTAATTCGAAGTAATGGGGAATTTTAAGGAAGTGCAACGTTTAGCTGCCTGTTGTATTTATTAAAGTTATCCTCGAAGGAAATGTTTTGTTGAAAATACTATGAAATCGATGAAAAGTAAAGTAAAAATTATAGAAAAATTACTGAATATATTTCAAAATGAATCGTAATTCTCTTCGCAAAATTTAACGCGATACTGTGTGAAATATGAGGAGAGTTAAGTTATATTGTTGGTAAATAATAACAATAAAACAAGTTAAATTATACCGTTGGAAAATAATAACAGTAAAACAAGTTTTTTTCTAATATTAGATATGAAATTTACTGAATTTAATTGAAAACCGAATTTTTACCGAAATATTGATGGAATAATAATGAAATGGGATCAATCGCGAGAGAATTTTTCAAATACGTTTCAGTAAAATTGTTCTCATTGTATTATCGCTGAAATATTTCCATCAGCGGTGAAACGAAAATAATAGCACAAAGTGAATAAGCTTAGATAAAAATTATTCTTTTATAAATTGTACACTCTTGTATATTATATTAAATATATTAATATTTGTAACAATCTTTTTTTTTACTTAATTGTGACCCGTCACTTCCTTCATGTTGCATTTAACTGCTTGTTTACGATTTCAATGAATCACAGCGAAATTATAATGAAAAACATATGCTTCCAGAATATATGCCTTTCATTCTTCTTACTTCAAAGTGAAGACTATGGACCTATGTGAGACTATAGACCTATAAACTTTGGCAACGTACTTCAGAAACGCTATTATATTGTGACAAGAGATATAATTCGTGCAGGAGTGACGAGGAGGCTGGTCATAACGTCATAACGTCGAAATCTAACGCAAAACGTACAACTTGCAACAAACGTATAAACTTAATTAATTGGAAAATCGGTGAAATAAATGAGAAGGAATGGAAAAGCGTTCTCGTCGAATCGAGGATATATACATCCTTCGAGAAACGGATAAGAATGTTCCCGTTATTATATAACGCAATCTAAATCGGTATCATACCGATAACATATTGATATGCCCTCAATAATAATAATAGCAGATTTTAACTCGTCATACAGATAAAAAGGAAGAAGAAAAACGAACGGTCTTGGTGAAAAACGATAAATATTTTTTTGTCCACCAATACTTTTCAGTTAGATATGACTATACTTGAACACGAGAAACACACTATAACTAAACATTAAATATAAATTAAATAGAAAAAGTTTCTTTCTTTCTCACAAAGGTAAACACATTGCGACATGCCTTTTATGTCATATTCGTCACAATCAAATGATTCGCTTGTCAGAAATTTGTCATCGGTGAACTAATTTATACGTTTTCTCGATATTTCGGATTTAATTGATCACGACTAATTTATCACGAACGTATCAGGCATCACGGCGGAAATGGTGCGAGAATGAAATACCTTACATTAAGAAAGCGCGGGACGAAGCTCGGTAAGTGTCGATGATCGTCTCGATTGTATCACCTCGTTCTATAGCCCGATACATACTGAGTGCCACGGAGCATGCGGCATGCGATCATTAGCTCCATCGTACCGGTTTTATCAGCGAGGAGCTTGGGTGCTATTTACATCCGATGTTTTTAAGACAGATGTTAACACGTTAACTGTCACGCGCATTTCGGAGGAAATCTCCGTCAAGCCAAATCCATTAAAATTTTTTGATAAGAAATGTTTAAGTATATTAATTATACGATCCTGAAATTACTTATTAAACTATGTAATTTTTTAAATTTTATATCGTACTTTATACTGTCAGTCACCAGTGACTGACGCGGCCTAAAAGGAAAGTTAGTGAGTCACCGGTGACCGACGTGGCCTAAACGGAAAGTTCGGTGTCAGTCACCGGTGACTGACGTAGCACTCAACGTGTTAAAGACGCGCGGAAAGGAAGGACATCGAATACGTTGTTGCGTTTTTTCCGCACACCCCAGAAATGAGGAATAAATTTCTTCCTCAACAGTAACACAACTGTCGAAAGTTTAATTATTACAGCTCGTTTATATCTGAAGACCGATCTGAAGATCGATTCATTCACTTATTGATGATCTTCATAGTTATCAAGTCCTATTTCCAGAATTGAATTTTCGTTTTCAATTACAACAGTCGTATTTTTACACTTTTAAGGTAAATTAAAGAGAATTATGAAGTTTTACACTTTTAAGATAAATTAACCCATTAACGCCGAAGTGTCCTGATTTTTTAGCAAATTTCAACGCGATTATTTTTTATGTTATCGGCATTAAAAAAATTTTGTTTTCACATATTCCGACGTAGAATTTCATGCTCTTTCAGAATCCAGGCTTAAAATTCTGATTAGACTTGAAGAAAACAAAATATGGCCGATTTAAACATAAAAAACGTGAAAATTTTTGAAAAAAAATTTGTTTTTTTTGCAATGTTACCGAAAAGAATTCATGCTATAAACGTGATCAGGGGTGATCACGATAGTTAAAGTATATCAGGGAATTTTTATGTAATCATTGAACCACTCCTTTTTACAATATGGCGACAAAAACGTAAAAAATTTACAATAAACTAAGCTAATTTTTTTTCTCGGAAACTATTGAGTTTAGTGAAAAAGTTTATAGAATAAAAATGTCTTAGAATTAGTCAAAGAATACTCTCAAATTTTTTCAGAATTTTTGAAGACAATTTTTGATTTTCTGAAAAATTCGGAAAATCCAATTTTCCAAAAATATCTCAAAAAATTCTGAAAAAATTTGAGGATGTTCTTAGATTTTTTTTCAAAAATTTTCACGTTTTTGATGTTTAAATCGGCCATATTTTGTTTTCTTCAAGTCTAATCAGAATTTTAAGCCTGGATTCTGAAAGAGCATGAAATTCTACGTCGGAATATGTGAAAACAAAATTTTTTTAATGCCGATAACATAAAAAATAATCGCGTTGAAATTTGCTAAAAAATCAGGACNTTTAATAGATTAAAGAGAATTATGAAGTAGCTTATCATACAAATCATTATAATCAAGTTATTAAACATAATAACATTGATATTCTGATAAAAATAATGTAAAGATCGGTACAATTTCACTTGGAATTACTTCGCACTTAACTAAGAAACAGATTTAAGTGAAATATACGTATATTATTGTTCCTTACTGAATTACACACACTATAGTGTCATCCTATATTTCATCAATGTATATGTAGAAGATTGGAATGTACTTGCAGTGTAGGAATATTAAATTGTGAAATATTTTTTTCACCACATAATAATCGTATATAAATTCATTAAATAAAAAATAGTACATTCTTTCTGTAGTCATTTTAATTCCTCCTGGAAGCTATAAAGACTCGCCAAGCATTATGACGTCATCAGCTGTGTATCAAAGATCAAAGATATGACGTGACCCTATTTTTCTCATTGTAGCAACTGGTAGGAATTATTTTCAGCCGAATTATATCACAAGTTGCAAAATATTTCAGGAAGTTTATATCGAAATTTGGAATGTTTTCCAACAGAATCTAATATGTATCAATCTTCTTTAATAAAAATTTGAAATAAAAGTTATGGGAAACTAAAAAATTGCATATTGCGGATACAAGCAGAACTTTAATTTCTCTACATCATTTCATCACAAAATCTTAGTAATATTTAGATCTTTCATATTAAAAAATGGGCAATTTGACAAATGTTTATAAAACCTAAAGTCTATTATTATCTCTACAAGTCTAAAAGTTATTTGTTATTTTGGAGAAACGTAGTATGCAAAGAAGTATGCAAAGAAGGAAAGAAATATTATCAGGATGTGTTACTCACCTGCTCTCGATAATGCATATCTTCGAAGTATGTGATATCTTGTCCGTTGATAGTAATTTTTCCAGACCCGTTACCCCAAATTGTTACTTCACCTCTTGTACTTTTTCTCATGCAATCTGAAATTACAAATAGTGAGTTTGATATTATGGCAATATGATGATATTTTAGCTATATGTTAAGATAATGTTTACTGACTTTTCACTGTGATATATGGTCTTCCTGTGTTGTCATGTTCCAGCTATATATCAAAAAAACATACATAATCAAAATCCGAAAAAGAATATACACGTGTTTTTTATTTTTTACTTAATTTATTATTATTATATACAGATATAGATACTTACAGACGGTATTACTATCTCACTGATGTGACTAACGAGCTTCTTACGATATTTCATAATAAAATCCTGTGCACGTTTTGACAAGGGATGATTGCATAGTCGCTCTAATGATGTAATAAGATAGTAATACTGAAAAGATTATCGTGTGAATTCAAATATATATATTTCATACAATGTGTCACAATGATTGTAGCATTATATTATTAATATTATTATTCACCTCACCAGCCTTAAGAGTTTCGGATAATAATTTTTCAATATCCATTTTTGTTAACCACACAGAACTTATTAAATCCCTGAAAATGTGACACAAAATATTTATAAGAAAACGTTAATTTATATAAAATATTGTCAAATTATATATATATATATGTGTGTGTGTGTACACACAATTATATATAATTATATATTATAATTATTATATAATATTATGTTATTAATTATATTATAATTATATATATATACACACACACATACATACATACGCGCATATGTAAATAAATGTAATATATTTATTAAAGATGTGTGATATATAAAAATTATCTCACATTTTATCCATAGGTACTGTTCCTTGTTTTATTAATGAATCTTCAATGTTATTCAAAGACTGGATCGTTCCCACAATATTCTGTAAAAAATATAATGTCCTGTAAGACATATTATGTTTTTTTCTTTTTTTACTTTAGTATAATTGTCAGGACTAACATAAAGTGTCTCGTAATAATTTGGTTTATAGGTATAAAACATAGAATGAAAGGGTCTTCCGGTTTCATCAAATTCTGCTGCTTTTCTGTTTGAAAAAATTTCATCCGGATGTCGCATCATTGGTCGAGCTTTAGAATCAAATAGTCCTGATGGAAAAAGATATTCAATGGATCTCTAGAAATAATAAATGATTTTAAGCATTATATCAGATATTGGTTAGACTATGAATAACATCTTACATAATTACATACATTTACATCTTCTTGTGTAAAGAATTCTGGATCTTCACCCATCATATTAGCCAAATGTCTTTTGCCTATTTGATATTCTATGATTTCCTTTTTCATGAATTCATCTGAGAGATATAATTAATTAGTAAATGATATAATAGCTGTTATTATCAATAACTTCAATAGAATATCAATTTAAAGTATAGAATACTACCATGTTCTTTTGATCGTTGCATATATGCCATCATAGCTTTGCTTATTTTTTTGGCTGTTTTTTTTTTCTCTTCAGGTTCAAATAAATCATTATTTTCACTGAGAGATGTTGAATGTGCTCGTGATTTAGTATTCTGCCATCATAAAATAATCAATAGATTATGAAATAAACATATATACAAAAATAGACATATATAAAAAAGAAATTACATTCGGCAAAATTTACAAATTACAAGAAATCTGTCGTTACTTGTTACATTACTTTAAACTTACCAAATGTGGTGTGGTATCCAGAAATAAGACGGTAATATTACTGTTAATGCCGATGAAACGTCGAAAAGGACGTATGAAAATAGATACAGCCATAATTGTTGTTGATAATAACAGATAACAATTAAAGGAAATTGTTAATCAATTAATTTATAGTCGGTAGTTCAATCTTGCCAAACTAACTTATTAGATAACCTCAGATTCGGAGTGCGTTCGCTTTGGATGCTTGCGCGCTTCAAGCGATTACAAGCATCGCCGTTTCTCCTAGCATCGTGAGCGCTTGCAGAACACATAATGACATCATTGGTTGTGTTTAGTAAGTACAAAATTGTACAACAGCAGAATAGTTCGTCAATGAAATAGGTCTAAATTTAGGAACTTACAGTAAAGTCTGCATCAGACTACGGATTAGAATTGATATTAAATTAAAATTTGGTCAATCAGAGCAAGACCCCTACTACGCAGGTATGCCTGCTAAATAGAAACTAATATAAAAAATAATGGAGTAATTATAAATTCAGATAACAATATTTTAAATAAATAATTATAACAACATACCTTGCGTAGGGGCCTTGGCTAATTTTCACTGTTTTCATTTTAGTATAAAATAGACTCATCGCATGACTTTAGTAAGGCAAAGATTTAATACTTATATTTATTTAATACCACGAAGCGTGCCCATATCGCAACATTTCATCGGTATGACAGGTTTTCTAACATCAGGTCTGTTCGTTTTCGCTGTACCGCTGAACTAGTACAATAAGTTGAAGTGAGAAAACATGTACTTGTCTCGCTTCAACTTATTGCACTAGTTCAGCCGTATAGCGAAAACGAACAGACCTATCATGTCCTATCATGTCGTCAACTTTAACGATTAAATGACTCACTTCGCGGGGCAGAGCGACACTTTATTCTGCCAGATTCGTTTCGTGCAGGAATGAATAAGTGTAATTTCATCCATATTTATGCTGACGTAGCTAAACTAAATAATTACTAAATTAACTTACTTAGCCTTGCATATTAACGGCATAAATACGAGTAAAATATGTGAAAAATTTACACGAGCTTCAAGAAGCACCTTGACTAAATACGAGTCTGGTGAGATCGATCACGTGGTCGTCAGTGTGCAGGCACGCGCATGACAGACTCGTTGAAAGAAATTCGTGTTTGCGCCCTGCATCCAGTATCGCTGATCTAACGCAAGTGGTGGGTTTCGTTCAATATTACACCTCGAGAAAGGATAGTGTAGCCTGGGAAAAATGTCGTCGCGTTCGAACAAGAAGAACAAGAATAAATTAATGCAGAGGCGGCCGCGGCAGGTTCTCTGCAAGGAACAGAAGTATCATCAAGAGAGGGACAAGTTGGACGACGAGCACGAGACAGGTTAAGCTGATACGTGAATTTCCTTTTGAAATTTCCACCTCGTTAAGTCACGCGAATGCACTCATCTGTGACTCTGTGAAAAGAAATAGGTGATTCGCGAGACATACCGTGTGCGAGAAAAGAATAGATGTAAATAAAATAAAATGTGGATATAAATAATAGATAGGTATAAATAAATAGAATGAACGAGTAAGATAAAATATAGATATAAATAAATAAAATAAAAAATATATATGTACCCGGGAAGAAAAGGATCGTACATGAAATTTGCCTATATATGACTGTATATAATCATATGTGTCCACAACGAAAATATACTGTTGTTTACAAATTATATGGAAATATAATCGAATTAAAAAATTACATTTTTCATGAGTTTATGCTAAAGAACGAGTTTGATTTGATATACGTGGTTTTAGTGGTACATGGGTACTAGACATGATGTGGTTTCTGAATACCTGGGAAACAAAGATCATATATAAAATTTGTATCCACATATGACTATATATAATCATATATATATCCACAACAGAAAAATACTGTTATTTACAAATTATATGCAGGTACAATTGAAGTAAATGCTTCTGGCTACTTGTGCTTCTGACAACACATGATATCGACATTTAATTAAGTGACATCATTTTTTATATGATCATATATGTAACCAGATATGGGCAAAATTTATATATGATTTTATATAATTATATATAATCATATATAATCATATATAATCAATTTTTTCTCGGGTAAATAAAGTAAAATACATATAAATATAAATAAAATAAAATATAGGTTAAATAGAGGAGAGAGACAGAGAGAGAGAGAGAGAGAGAGACAGATGCCCCAAAGTTATTGGAGTCATACGTGTGTAACTTGTATTTGTTGAACTTGCAGAGCCAACGGAGAACAACACTGCCCCATCGATTGCATTTCCTGTGGCAATGTGGGATCTGAAGCAGTGCGACCGTAAGAAGTGTTCCGGCCAAAAGTTGGTGAGACATGGCTTGGTGAAGACACTGAGATTAGGCGCTCGATTCCCAGGCTTAGTACTTACTCCGGTCGGCACTAAGGTAGCTAGCGGCACAATACGTAAGGACAGTTGTTCGTTACAGATGCGATAACACATTGGTGAAATGTTGTTTTGTAGTGTGTGAGCCCGACGGACCGCGAGATCGTACAGGAATACGGTTGCGCAGTTGTGGATTGCAGTTGGGCGCGTCTAGACGATACTCCTTTCAACCGGATGAAAACACCCAATCCACGTTTACTGCCGTTCTTCGTCGCTGCCAATCCCGTGAATTATGGGAAACCGTGTGAACTGAGCTGCGTCGAGGCTATAGCGGCCGCTCTGACCATAACTGGATTCCGAGATGAGGCTGCGCTGTATCTCGGCAAGTTCTCGTGGGGCCACTCTTTTCTCGAGCTGAACAGCGAACTGTTGGAGAGTTACGCTCTCTGTAAGAACAGCGAGGAAGTGATAGCGGCGCAAGAGAAGTTTCTAGCGGACGCATGGCATGAGAAACTGAATAGGCATAGTAAGGATATTGCGCACCCTCTGCCCGGCACTTGATGTTTTCACCTCAACGTTATTTGTCCTTAGCGCTTCCCGATTTCCCACAAAGTGATACCGAATCCGAGGAAGAAGGGGTAAAGAAGGACGAGAGCCCAATATCAGAAGTGATCAAAGAACTAGACAATACGGAAATATAGCGCACACAATATCGATTATAGGCACTTGACAAGTACATTTGTATATACATGAATACATTGTATATTTATAAAGCGATATTTTGTTAAACTATCGATTACACGACAGATTTGTAATATATTGTGATAGCAAGCAAGGTGAGAAAAATAATATTGTCTTCCATTTGTATCATCCTTTTCTGTCAGAAGTTTAATTATATGGTGAAGAAAGAAGTTTAATAATTGGTGCCGCTTCTTCGCGATGCTGATCGGCTGTCTCGAAATCTCGATCCCGACGCGACTCGTTTACGTCGCAGCTGTCATCGCGTAGGTTGCGCGTTTTAACGGATATACTTTTCTGACAACGACAACGAATTTTAATTTGACTCTTAGCTATACGAACTAAAATTTTTTCCCGCATAATATTAAGTTATTAAGTACGAAATGTCCGATTTTCTCAAATACTAAGTTTGAGAATCGATATCTCGGATATTTCACCTCGATGGTTCTTAGTTTTTTTTTTTGTGAAGATACATCGTTCTTTTAAACGCACGTTTTGGTTTTGCGATTATCTTTCGAATTTCCTTTTGCAGATCGATTTTTATGAAACCATAGATAAGCAAGAAATTTGTGTTATTTTCGATTATAAGTCCCGTCGTGGAACTAACACAGCATAGACAACTCGAAGTATCAACGACGTGTTTGGTTACTGAACGCACAATACGACGATGGTTTAAAAAATTCTGTTCTGGTGATTTTAATCTTGAAAATAAACCACATGGATGTCACCTAAGGCCAAGGTGGATAATGACGAGCTGAAAGCTGTAGTTGAAGCGGATATATCTCAAACTACGCGTGAATTTGTAGTAAGGTTTGACGTTGTTGTTCCAACAATATTGAGCTGTTTGAAACAAATAAAGAAGCCGGATAGATAGATTCTACATGAATCAAACGAGCGTCAAAACAGAAATCGTCTTGTAGCTTGCCATTCTTTGCTGTCACGGCATAAAGGCTGATAGTTTTTAACACATCATATTATTACGTACAATGAAAAATGGAATCTTTTCGACAATTGTAAACGTTCGGACAATGACTGGATAAAGACGAAGTGCCGAAACACAGTCTGAGACCGAATATTCACAAAAAAAAAGTCAATAGTGTCTGTTTGGTGGTTCAACGCTATGATATTAGATCTGTTCGTTTTCGCTGCACCGCTGAACTAGTAGACTAAGTTGAAGCGAGACAAGCATATGTTTTCTCACTTCAATTTATTGCACTAATTTAGCGGTGCAGCGGAAACGAACAGACCTCTGGTAAATTGATTACAGCGGATGTCTGCTGCAACTGATTAGACGAAATGATGAGGGAGCTTACGATTGAGCAGCCGAGATTGGTCAACTTCTTGCGAGGGAAAATCAATTTAATTTTCAACAAGCTGTGGTAAACGTGATTTCATTGCCACTCGCTTTTCAGGCTCTTCTTCACTGCCGGCGTAAACAAGCTGTTAGATAGCAAAGCTGTGTCGATAGTTTGGGCACATATCTTGATTAATTGTGCTACTCCTTGTTTGGGATATAATGAACTTTTGATTCGAAATCGGACATTTCATATTTAATATTTAATATATCTTATTCTGTTTTATTTTATATTTAATATTTTATATTTAATGACCTGATAATTAGTTAAATAGCGTGCACGTCATGTTAGTCTAGTTTTACAGAGATCAAGCACACGATAAATCTCTCGCGCATGAGCCTTATATTTTACACGCACTAATACGTACTGCAAATACATATTTCCACAGTTATTCATTATTCGCGATAGTAATAGAGAATCCGATCACTCGCACTTCTACACCGGATTAATGTGCAATAAATCCAATAAGCAAGAAACATTGAATCAATCTTTTAAAACATTGATTTTATATGGATTTTATAAACATTTTGACATAATATTTTATAAATGTTTTTGAACTGTTATTTGATAATATTATGCTCTTAAATGTTAAAGTTATAATGTAGAAATATTATTTTTAATATTTCGGTCAAATATTGTTAACAATTGTGTACATTGAGAACTACATATTTGAAAACGTTACATGTTATAAAATATCATTGTAATAATGTTGTGTTAATGATTTATGGCTTACTGGGAAGGCTGCTATACATCAAGTATCTAAACATAACGCATAACTCTAATGAGGAAATAATTAATGTATATTTTGTAAATAATATTACAATATCATTATTAGATGATTAATCTTTTACAATACTTATGTGCTTTTTTATTTGAATCACTTCTTCATGTATAGCAGCCTTGAGCATACATCAATCTGATGTGCAAGTGATTGAATTTGCTCTAAGAGTCTTAACAAAATGGCTAACTTATAAATTCAAGACAATATTTTATACCTTAAGACGTTGTTTTAAATAATGTACAATAACTGTCTTGCGTCTAAAGTCTTAAATTAAAAAAAGTCAGTCTGTTTGTGATTGATGACAAATCACCGAATAATAAACAAAGATTTAGGAATCTGTTTTAAAATTATAAATCGAGGTCTCAGCAGGATGGCTGATTTATCAGTTCAAGACAACGCCTTAAATCTGTCTTAAGTAACGCACAATGACCGTCTTCCTGTACAGCATAGACGTCCTAAAGACGTCCTGAGGACGTCCCTCGGATAAAGTGTGCTGTATGGGTTATGTCTGTCTTAAATTAAATTAAAATTAGTCTTAAACTAGAAAAGCCATTCTGAATCTATGTTTGATGATAAACTGTTGTACAATAAACAGGAAGTAGAAAAATATGATAATTTAGACTATAAAGTTTCGGAAAAAATTCGTATTTTTTAAATTTTCTGCGGATTTTTTATTCCTTCTTTAAACGAAGTAAGTAAGGAAAACGAAATAAATATGGCGGGTTTTAACCAAACGCACGCGAATTTTTGTACTCTCGGGATAGAAACCGAAGAAACCTTATAAGCGCATAATTTAATATTTATTATTTAATATTAAGTAATATTCCTGAAATATTAATAGATGGGTATATGTCCACCTTTAATAATATTAAAAAATAATATTATTTAATGTTATTGAAATATTACATATTTTTTAAATATTTAACTCTATGTATATATATAATATATATAACTGTAGTTTTTTATTTCGTGTATCGCAATATCAGTTATTTTATTATATAAATAAAGTCAAAATTATTTTGTGTAAAAATACATTTTGTATAAAAAAAATTACACACACACACACATATATATGTACATTTTATTTATATATATATTTTTATATTATATTTTTTTAAATTCCAAGAACATTTTTATAATATCAAGAATATTGAAGTGGAACATATATCATCAATAGAATATTCCTACAATACTAAAAGATATTACATAACATTCTTAAAATATTATAAGAATATTATTTTAATATTGAATAATATTCATATAATATTCTAGGAATATATTACGCACTTATATTCGTGGAAAAATTGGATGAAAAACGGTTTCCTTCCGAAGCTATAGAGCTGCAAATTCAGACGAAGATTCCGGGCGTACGACGTTGTCTTAAAACTACACCAAGGTTTCGAGTTTTGCCCAACACCGTTGGATTTCGAGTGTGATCCCTCGATTACCGGTCGAGCGTAAGTCGGCCCGACGTTCCGCAAACGACCGCCTGGCGCGCCGCTTTCAGTGGCCTCACAGCTGATACGCGGTGACGTCACTCAAACAAAGCCATGCGCGCTTGGATCGCGCGCGCGCGCGCGAGAGAGAGAGAGAGAGAGAAAGCTATTTGTTCCGCGATCCGAACGCGCAGCCAACACATATTCGGCGTCCGTGGACACGGTGAAGTGCGCGTCTCTGTACCTCCGTGCGTGCTGTGTCGTCCTGAGCTGCTGTTATCGCGCGCATCCGTCCTCGACCGACTCTCGATTTGCGTGTGAGGCCCCAGCGATGCCGTTCATATCCAAGGACTGGCGAAGCCCGGGCGAGGAATGGGTGAAGACGGTTGAGGGTTGGGAGAAGAAGAAGATCCTCGAGTGCGCCAACAACAAGACCCTTTCGCTTCTACGGTGAGCTCTATTATCATTCCCTCTCTCTCTCTCTCTTTCTTTCTCGCTGCTGCCGTCTCGCTCGCTCTTCTCCGTTCTTTGTTCGTGGAATGACAGCGCGCCGTCCGCGACACTGCGACGCACAGCTGTTACTCCAGCGTTTACATCGATCCGACTGACAGCTCCGTTTGTTTACATATGAACATTCTCTCTCTCTCTGTCGCGCGCGCGATGACCAACCGACCGATCGACTCGCCTTGACACGGACGATCAGGTGTGCGGCGTCAAGCCGCTCCGATTAGCGCGTCACACATTAGGCATTGTCACTCGCACACCGAATTCGCCTCGCTCCTTGACTGACACGTCCGCGACAGGTCTCGGCCGTTTCGCTCGTCTGCGAAACGCGGACCGAGTCGACGTTTCATCCCCAATGGGTGATAATGTGCTCCCGACGATGTCGCGGCGGTGACAGCGGCTCGACACAGCGAGACCGACTCTCGTCAGCCTCGGATTCAACTGGTCGGTGAACAACGATTGAAGAATTGCCGAGACGCCAGTTTCCACGTTCTGCAATTTCAGTCGTTCGACAGTGACCCGTGAAAAAATTAATTAAACGATAAAAAATTGATAATCTCGTAAACGTCGACTAACGGTAACGTAGCATCAATGTCGCAATGTCCCGCTCAACGTTGTGAGTGCTATGCAACGTGCGTCGTAACAGTTACATCGTCGAGTGGGAGACTTGAGGTACAACGTAATTGCCGTAATGTTACCGTCGTCGGTTGCTGATCACCGGGTAATTTCCATCTGCATCAGAGCGAAGTAGAGCAAGTGACAGCGTTTGCTTGACAGCGATTTGGAATCGTCGATTCCGATTCACCGGGGTTCAGTGAAAGTCGCCCTGAGCAGGTTCGCTCACGTCGAATCACGCCTGAACCCGACGAGAGATACGACGACGGTCGTCCTTCCTGTCGCCCGCTCGATCGTTACTCTCGACTATCAATTTCGCTCTCGTAGCGGCGGTATTCGGCGAGTACGTTCGAGCCGTTCCCATCCGGTTCGCGATTTACGGGGCCGACGCACGGCGTGTCTTTGCGCGAGTCTATCGGCGACCTGCGATCACCCGAGGCGGGTGATACCATGTTATCTGTCAGCATCGCACGGGTCGTAATTTAGGTGGATTTCAAGTTCGCCTACGGAGCGACGCGCGCTCTCTTTCTCTCTCTCTCTCTCTTTCTTGGAGCGGTCTGCACGCGGTGTGCCGCGTGTCACGTATAATAATATACGTCGCGCGGATTGCTCGCGTCTACAATGGAATCGCGTCGTCGGGAATGCACCGATGAAGAGTGCCAGTTCTTCTTTCCCGTCTGCTGATTGGTCGAATCCAAGTTCTCGTGATCAGTCATTCTTCTTCAGCGGAATTACTGCTCGGCATTGTCTGATAATTAGCCTCGTTATCGATGATCCTCAATTATCCGATATTTTTATCTTTCCGTTATTCCACCTCTTTAATCTGTTATTTGGATCTTTATTCCAGATCGCCCGATTATTTTCGATAGTGGTTTTTGTATTTATTCGTGATAAAGATGTGACGATTGATGAATGGCCCTCTCTCTCTCTCTCTCTTTCGTAAATCGCGAAAATCGCGAATCGAGTATCCATTCGAGATTACACAACAACGATTTTGACTCTTCTCGACGACAATGTATTTCGTGCTATGCGACATTCCGCGCATGGTGAAAAAATTGTCGCGTAAGCCGCGGTCGTGCGACCCGGTGTCCGTGTTCGAACTGAATTTAATTCAAGCATCCTTCAACATCGAGTCATCAGATCCAACGTCGGATTCAATTTCAACCGGTCGTACAGAGCGTGACACGATTATTGGTTAACAATATTGCGCTAATTCCAACGGTACCGTCGAAATGCTGATGAAATGAATAAGCGTGCGCAGGGAAAAATGTATTGATAAAATTGATCAGCGGGACAGAAGTCTCCTCGATTCAACAGCGATATCATTGAAACTAATGCGTCATACGTTGTTTCAATAACTTTAGTGTTGGTTCCGATGATATTGCTATTGAACCAAAGAGGTTTGCTCTCCAATTATGATGCTGTCGACTGATCGTACTGATACAACAGCGTTTTCTTTCTCGAGTGCGATCACCGTTTTGAGGTAGTGAGAGAGAGAGAGAGAGAGAGAGATGTAACTGTGGAGGAAGCTTGTAATAAAGACAGAGCGAGAAGGACGAAAGGTCCATTGTATGGCCAACGCGGCTGTTCGGTCATTTTTCGCCGAGCTATCTCGCGAAATTCTCGACATTGACGTGATTGAGAGCCGAATTGATCGCCGATGCTCCGACGTGCGCCGCGGCCTCACGGATGATACCATTTCTCCGTGTGTGGGCGCATCGATGTACAAATAATTTCCGCTCATGTTTTATGTACACGTGCGCGCGCGCGCGCACACATATACACATATACACACACACATGCACACGTTGCACTTTGAATGCATTATTGGCAAAGAATCGAGGTTTGCAGTGATCGGAATTTATTACGTTTAAACGTCCGAGGGAGAGAAAAGTAATAAATAAATCGGGACTGTTTCCCGTTGAAAGGCAAAGCGCAAGCAATCTCGCGACATTGGCTGTGTTTGACATTTTCAATTTGCGATCAAAGTGAGCGCGCAAACCTGTTTCTTCGTGATTAAAGCGCAGGTGCAAAAAGTCGTTCGCGAAATTAGTATGGATAATTCACGCTCGCCGCCGACGAATGAGTGCGCAAAGATCACGCGTGTCCGCGAAATCCGGAGGTACGAATTGGCTCGCGTCGCGTTTGCTCGGATGAAATTTATGTCGACGCGAACCCGATTTGCGTGTCCAATTCGAACGAAAATCGCGAGAATGACGGCGTCACGAGCTTGTTGCCGTTATAAGGTAGAAAAAGAAAGAAAGAGAGAGAATCGGCTGTTTTTTCCTTATCCTATAAGCATGTAATATTATTTAACCGTTTTAATACCAGGGGTTTTTAAAAATCCGTGTCGGATTGTGCCATGCAGCGCGATAGCGCTTCGTTCATTTATCTGCGAATAATGCCGATCGACGCGATCGCGCTGCACTTTTTTTTCGTCGAAATATGCCGCTCGGCACGCTCGCCCTTCATTTCATCAGTCATATCGGAAACGTTATACTAAACACTCAAAAGTTTGCGAAATTCGGAACCGAGCGCGTTGCGAATTGATGATCGTGACCAAACATCGCGGCACATTTCACCACTGTACGCGAATAGCGCGATCGCGTTAAAACGGTTAATATTAAGTAATATTTCTGGAATATTAATTGATAGTTATATGTTCACCCTAAATAATATTAAAAAATAATATTATTTAATGTTATTATAATATTATGTATTTTTTAAATATTCAACTCTGTGTACATATATAATATTAGGTTGGTGCATATGAAATGTCGCATTCTTAAGTGATTGTATAAAACTGTATATCTTTCTTCAAAAGCTGTTTATTCAATCAAAGTATGCTCCATTCGCTTCAATACACTTCTCCCAACGAGATTTTAAAGCGTAGATGCCTGTCTTAAAAAAATTTTGGTCTTTAGAATTAATAAACTCTGATATCGAGTTTTTTAGACTGTCTTCATTTTCATGGTGTTTGCCTCTTAAAAACAGCTCTAAATGCTTGAAAAAATGAAAATCGGTCGGCGAGAGATCCGGTGAATATGGTGGATGCTGCAAAACTTCATATTCCAGTTCGTTCAGTTTCGCAATTGTTTTGTGCGATGTGTGCGGCCGAGCGTTGTCATGGAGCAGTAGCGGGCCATGCCGATTCACAAGCGATGGGAGTACAATTTGGTGTCTCAATATCGTTGTATGGTCAACTTTCATCCTGATAGCAAGTTCCCTCGTGGATACGGCTGGATCCGCTTCCACTAGAGCCTTCAGGTCATCATTATTCACAGACGTTTTGGGTCTTCCGCGCGGCTCATTTTGCAGTGAAAAATCGCCAGTCCGAAATTTTTCGAACCAACGCTGCACTTTCCGATTGTTAACCGTATTCTCCCCAAACGCTTGGTTTATGTTGCGTGCAGCTTTTGCAGCACTATTACCAAGTTTGTACTCATATAAGAAAATGACGCGAATGTCGGCAGAATTCATATCGGTAATAAACTCAAAAGAAATAAAAAAGGGAAGACCTTCGAGAAAACCTATTTTGTTGAAATGAGTCTCTGGCAATGGACAATACGAGTATGAATGAGGTTATGCCAAATACAAAAGTATAACGAAAACAGGGAGGAAAACGTCCGCATGTAAAGAGAATGCGACATTTCATACGCACCAACCTAATATATATAATTGCAGTTTTTTTATTTCAAATGTATTGCAATACCAATTGTTTTATTATATAGATAAAGTCTAAATAATTTGATATAAAAATACATCTTATACTAAAAAAATACTAAAATACTAAATTATTAAAATGAAAAGAAATATATATATATATATATATATATATAATTTTTATGTGTTTTTCTACATTATTATTTTTTTCTTAATATTTTAAGAACATTCTTATAATATTAAAAAATATCACACAACATTCTCAGAATATTATAAGAATATTTTAATATTTAATAATACTCATATAATGTTCTAGGAATATTACGCGTTTATAGGATATCAACGCGATTGCGCCGCGTGCGTAACGCGTTGCGTCGCGCGAAAATTTCACACCGTTGTCGCGCGCCGTTTCCCAACGGTTCGATTACCTAAGAATTAATTAAGCGCTAATCATCCGGGAGAGACTCACGCGATATTGGATGTATTAATAGCCATTACATTAAAACTGGTCTCACGTGAGAAACTCGAATTCGTCCTATAGTAGAGTAGAAATGTATCTGGCTGGCCTGAGTTAAGTGCTAATATCTAGCTAGCATATATAGTCAAAATTTTGTGTTATAAACGGTTCACTCAAATTTTTGTATCAATTTAACAAAGTGAATATGTTA